GGGGGGGGGGGGGGGGAGTCTTTCCTGTTCTGATCTATTTTTAGTTTGGTGCACTAGTATTTTGGACCATTTCCAAAAGTACTCTTTATAGGGGCTTCACAACTAATGCCAACTTTCCCATTTACTTTAGCACACTCCTCTAAAGCTGTGCTGCTCTATGAAGTACTAACAAGGGAGCCAGGAGTTCCAACATTTCAAATGCAACTATGTTGCAACCTAGTAAATACAGTCTTTAAAAAAAACAAAAAACAATCCCTAGCATCTGCAAAATTCAAAGCACACTTCTGCTTTCATAAATCAAACCTGAAGGTTACAGCAGCTCATTAACAGTGTCCCTATGACAGAAAGGGCCAAAACTATTACTAACAGTCATAACTGACCAATAATCTACCTTATCTAATAGTCAACAAAACAATCAACTTTGAACAGCGAAGTCTACAAGTGATCGCCTTGTGTCCACACACATAATACCAATGCTCCTAATTCCTCCAAGGGTTCCTGGAACCAGCAACTTGGGGCCTAATTCCAACGTCTAACTGATGTAATTCCATTTAGAACAACTCTAGTTTCCGATGCTGTGAGCAAAAGAGCATCAGACCCGTTCCTAGCCAGCTGCAATGGCCTCCAAAAGAGACCCAGAGTGATTTGAGAAACTACTGCTCCTTTAACAAAAGCACTCAAACAATTCAAGGTCCTAACCCACTGCTTCATCGAAGCTAGGCAGGATCAGACACAGGCCCAGGTAAGCAATCTCTTTTGTGTTTTTACCTGTTTTCTCCCTGTTTGGTGTTGGAAGGCGGAGGATGCAGCACAGTCTGATTCCCTTCCATCTCCACAATACACTTCGTATTCAAGTCCAGCTCTGGAAGAGAGCAGGACATAAAGGGTTTTACCCACTGCCTGAGAAACCTCCACCTGGCCCCATGCACAAGAGGGGGGATACACTCTCTCCACAATGATTTCTCCATATTCTGCCCCTACACAGAGGGGGACAGCCCCACACAAAGTTTTGCCACAACCCTCTTCCCCCAGGCTTCTTCACACCCCGCCCCTGCACAGCACAGCACAACTTTCCCCCCTCCCAACCTCTACATGGTCACCCGGCAAAAGACAGCCTGCCTTCCCTCCACCCCCAGGGGTTCTCCACATTCACCCCCTTCCCCATGTGCAGAAGGGGACCCCCACACACATACCCACACTCCACAGGGCTTCTCTGCATCCTCCCTCTGCCCCCAGGCACAAGAGGAAACACACACCACACACACACACCCCTGCAAATCCCAACACACACCATAAGGGCTTCTCCATATCTTCCCTTTACCTCCATGCACAGAAGGGGACAACCCTCCCCCTAACACTGGGCTTCTCCACATCCTCCCCCTGCTCTCATGCACAGGAGACACCCCCACAAATGCATACATGTGCACATTCACAGGCTTCTCCACATCCTCCCTTTACCCCAATGCACAGAAAGGGACACCCCCTGTACACATGTGCATGCATGCACATCCCCCAGGGCTTCATCACATCCTCCCCTCACCCCCATACACAGATGGGGACACCCCTGCACACACAAATATATACACACATGCACACACCTAGAGCTTCTCCACATCTCTTTACTCTCATGCAAAAGGGGACATACACACCTACATCGGCATGCACACATGTGCACAGAGCTGTGGGGGGAGCTTATCCACATTCTCCCTCTGCTCATGCACAGAAAGGAACAAGCCCATTAACGCACCCACTTTTCTCCACATCCTCCCCTTACTCCTACGCAGAGAAGTGGACAACCCCCAGACACACAGACGCACAGGTTGTCCACATCCTCACCTTGCCCTTTGCACAGAAGGGGACACACCCTCTCACTCACCCCCCCCTCCCCACACACACACACACACACACACGCCTCCACTCACCCCCACGGGTTCTCCACATCCCCCGCTTCA